ATGCAGAAAACGGATACAGAAAATGGATAAAGAAAGTGGATTTAGAAAACGGATAAGGAAAGTGGATTTAGAAAACGGATAAAGAAAGTGGATTTAGAAAACGGATAAGGAAAGTGGATTTAGAAAACGGATAAGGAAAGTGGATTTAGAAAACGGATACAAAAAATGGATACAGAAAATGGATATAGAGGATATAGAGGAAATGGATACAGAGAATGGATATAGAAAATGGATACAAAAAATGGATACAGAAAACGGATGTAGGGAAAATGGATACAGAAAATGGATATAGAAGATGGATGCAGAAAACGGATACAGAAAACGGATATAGAGAAAATGGATACAGGAAATGGATACAGAAAACGAAATTAGGAAATTGAAAAAAAAACGAAAATAACAGAAGCTTCATATATTTCCAATAATACAAAATAAAATTATTTTCAAAAAATATGAATAAACATGAATTTTATTTGCAGGAAAATTTGAAAAAAGTTGTAAAAATAGGCGAGAGATACGATCAACAACTTGCACGTATTACTGGTAATACGGAAAAATCAAGTCCAATGTTCATTAAATTAATTAGTAAAAATTTATCAAGAGGTCATATGGTCAATCAGCAAATTCATTCACGTCAATCAAATTGGGATAATAATGAAGAATGGTGGCTAAATAAATCCAATTCATGGTATTCAAGTATTCCCGAGATTGTTTCCGAGTTAAAACGTAATACGGATAAAGAGATGGATGAAGAAAATGAAATTCGGGAATTGAAAAAATCGGAAATGATGAAAGCTTCCTGTATTGCTAATAATGAAAAACAAAAATATGTTACATTCAAAGAATCTTTACGTTTTTGGAATTTATCATTGGAACCGGTCAATTTAGCTCAACATTCCTTGGATATTCAGCATATTTCGATGATAAACCGGAAATGTTCTACAGATCAAAAATCAACATTTTGTTACGAAGAAATTATCAACGATGTGGAGGATTTGACAAATACGGATACAAATATGTGTAATATTTCGCAGGAATCAAAGAAATGTCATGAATTTTGCATTAATATTGATCCGGAAAATGGGTATTTAATTAATTCTACGGAATATGCTTGTCAGGAAGGTAATAAATCAACAATTTCAACGTTTATCGATTGGATTCAAACGATTATTCATAATAAAACGAGTGTAATAATGGTTGGACAAAATGAAAATGTCAAAAATTCAGAATTTCAAATTTGGACTCAACAAATACTTCAAAATTTGGATGTTACACTTGCTTTAAACAATTACGACAATACAATGATATTTTCGGATGATGAAATCAGCAATAATATTATCCGTTTAAGCCAATGGATTGAATTTGCAAAATTTAATGTGACAACAATGGGACAGGAAATTGCTTGGCAATTATTAAAACAATATCAACAATATGATGATGAAAATATTTCAAGTAATCTAATTCGAATATGTATGACAAATCAAGGAATGGGTGAAATTAACTGCACCGAACAATATCACTATAATATATGTCATTTAGATAATTCGGATAAATGTATGGATGATAATGTTGATAATTTACAACAAACAATAATTATTTGTCGACAATTTATGATAAATAATATGAAAATTGAAAAAATTAAAATTGAATATTTCTGTAATTCATTAAATGAAACAAATATTTTGTTGGATTATCAACAAAAAGCATCAAGAAATACAACAGATATTATTATTTTACAATTAATTCATACAATATTAATTCATTCAATTCCATTTACAACTCCTCCTCCTCCTCCTACTACTACTACTACTACTGCTACTATTCGATTCAATCAATATGAAAAAGAACGAAATGATGGAAATAATTTACGATTGAAAATTAATGAAGAAGAAGAAGAAGAAGAAAAGGATGAAAAAGAAGAAAAAATTATTCAAACAATATTTCCGGAATTATCTAAAAGTGTAAAAAATTTGGGACAATTTAATGAAACTAATTATACATTTACAACAATTAATTCATTAGCTATGCAAACTGAAACGATACCGGAAACAGAAATATTTCAAGCTACTAAATCAAATTTAATAATTTCATCAGAAATGGAGCAAAATTTTGATAATTTTTTAAATGATACAACAATAATAAATGTAATCAATTCAAATGATATGAATGTAATGATAAATAATGGAAGCGATAATACAATCAATGGTTAGCTTATTAATTATTACATCTTTTTTTTTTTTTTGTTTTTTTGCATAAAATATTAATTTTTTTTTTTTTAATTTCAAAATATTCCTATGTTATAGGTTTATTAACTTTTACTGGAAGTTAAAATTTAAATTAACATGAAATATTTTGAATACTGTTAATAGTGTATATATAATAGTTCTGGATAGTATTCATTGAGAATATATATATATATATATATATATTTGGTAGCTCCAGACAGTATTATCTAAAATAAAAAAAAATAATCATTAAAATATATGTATCTGAAGCTACTGGAGCTATACATATATATATATATATATATACGGTAACTCTGGATTGTATCCAGTAAGAACGCTTATTTTTTTTTTTTTTTTTACATCAAAAATATATCGAAAATTCAGAAATTTTACGATTAATATATTTATTAATATTTCTTTTTTTTTTTTGATAAATAAATGATGAAAAAAAAAATTTTTTTTCATAAAAAGAATGTTTCTTTTAGTTAAACTAACAAATTTTCCATTGATACATTCGTTTAGGAAATTATAATGAAAAATCGAAATTGAAATCGAAATTTGACCATTCTGTAATTATTCAATATAAACATAAAAATTAATATAACAAGCAA